GTGCAGAGCCCTTAGCTTGTTCCAAGATCTACACTCTGTTCTTCATAATCATTGCAGTGATAACTAATTTGTGCTGTATACACAGTGTTTTGTTTTTTTCAGAGCATTTTCATTATGACCAGTTTCATCTCAAAGGTCATTGGTTTCCTTTACTGTATCACTGAGGTATCATTACCACTGCTCATGTCCTTTTTAGACATGATGAACTGCTTTCTTTTTAAAGCAGCTCAAAACAACTTTAAGGTTGTCAACATGAACTAACGATGGGAGCACAACATCTAATACCAGCTGCACACCATGTTCCACCACCTGCACCTTCTGCATCCAGCATTATAAATAGGAGCATGCATTAGGAAGGGCAGATGGTTGTTCGTAAGAAATTAGTTGGCTCCTAACTGACCTGTTCATAAATGCAGATGGTTGCAACTCAGATCTTAGTAAGTAGGGAGCTCACTGTATACAAAATTACATATTATATTATCAAGATGGTAGCTTCCATATTATGCAGATATTGAATATTCTTTTATCATTTTATCCACCCTGATTTGCTGTAATGAACATAGGCAAAGTACTTAAAAAACTTTATATAACAGTGCATTAAGCACTTATAGAATGAAGGACATCCTACATAGGATATTTTGTTCCAAGTCAGACTGAAACGTCGTAAGTTTCTTTCTCTTGTGTGTGGGTTATATATGTGCTGTTCCAGTCATGGTGTTGTGCCTTTCTATTCTTTATTATTCCAGGTATTAACTAGTATTAAATTTAATAAATAAATATATACTGAAAATTGAATTGGTTTTTCTGCCATTAAAATTACCTCTTTAAAATTTTATATACCTGGAGAGGGTTTCGGGGATCAACGACCCCTGCGACCTAGTCTGTGACCAGGCCTCATGGTGGATCAGGGCCTGATCAACCAGGCCATTATTGCTGGCTGCACGCAAGCCAATGTACGAACCACAGCGCAGCTGATCAGGTACAGTGGAACCTCAAATATCGAACTTTCTTCGGTCCAGAAGGCTGTTTGAGTGCCTTTACCGAATGAATTTATTCCCATCAGGAATAATGTAAATTAGATTAGTCCATTTCAGACCCTCAAAAATACACTTATAAAAGCACTTACAAAAATACACTTACATAATTGGTTGTGTTAAGAACATAAGAAAGGAGGAACACTGCAGCAGGCCTGTTGGCCCATACTAGGCAGGTCCTTTACAATTCATCCCACTAACAAACATTTGACCAACCCAATTTTCAATGCCACCCAAGAAACAAGCTCTGATGTGCAAGTCCCTCTCAAATCCAACCCCTCCCACTCATGTACGTATCCAACCTAAATTTGAAACTACCCAAAGTCCTAGCCTCAATAACCCAACTAGGTAGACTGTTCCATCATCAATCCCCTTTTTCCCAAAAACCATACTTTCCTATTCCTTCTAAATTCAAAACTTACAAATTTAAATCCTTTTATGCGGGTTCTCTTTTGGGAGATTCCTAAAGCCCTTTTTAATACCCCCTTTATTAAACCTATTTTCCATTATACACTTCGATCGGTCCCCCCCTCATTTTTCTTTTCTAAAATTGAATGTAACTTAGAGTTTTAAATTTTTCCCTTTATAAGGAAGATTTTAATGTAGTTTTAAATTTAGTCACCCTCCTGAAGTTTTCTAAGATTTATGTCCTTCTGTAATATGGAGACCAAAATTTGACGGGTTATCTATTTTGGGCCTTTAAGATTTTAAACTGCAGTATGACCTCTGGACTTCTGTTGCTTACATTCTTGATATAACCCCATAATCTATTTGCCTTATTAGTCGCTTGGGGCATTACTGTTTGGTTTAAGGTTGCGCAACCCATAACCCCCAAGTTTTTTTCGCAATCTTATGGCTAAGTTCTACATTATTTAACTTATAATGCTAGGGTTATGGACACTCCCGAGCTTCAAACCTTGCTTTTATCTCATTGAACGATCTGCCATTTTCGGCCCAAAGAGTAGGTTTGTCAAAAATCCTTAATTTCCCCAAACATCTACGTTTGAATCAATTATCCACCTATCTTCGTGTCATCGGCGAACTTGTCATATCACTAAAATTTCCTTCTCAAGATCTTTTGACATTATTAAAACAAAAACGGCCCGATGATCCTGTGGAACCCACGGGTTACCGATCCCCATCGGTTTTTACCCCTTTATGGGCACTCTTGTTCCTGTCTGTGGCCATGATTCGATCCCCCAGAGCACCCCTTCCCCCCAAAGCCACGAGCTCTCTTTTTTCAAAAGTCTTTGGTGCGGAAAAATCTATCAAATTTCCTTATAAAATCTAATAAAACAAATCAAATTCTTTATCGTGGGCAACGCTCAAAAAATTTACTGAAGAAAGTCAAAAAAATTGTTAGAAAGCCGGCCTCGTGAATCCATGCTGAGTATCATTAATCAAGCTATGTTATCAAATGGCTTTTTAAAAACCCAGCAAAAATTGACTCTAGTATTTCCCCCAAAAATTTGAGGTAGGGCTTTTTGGGGCGGTAATTTGAGGGTAACGACTTGTCCCTTGTTTTAAAAATGGGGAATTACATTACCATTTTCCCACAAATCAAAATACCCTGTTTGAAGAATAAAAAAAAATATAGTTAAGGGTTCACAGACTTCCATTTTGCATTCCTTTAAAACCCTTAAAAAAAACCTATCGGGACCCGGTGACTTATTTTCTTCGTCGGTCTTTTGTTTCACAACCATTTCACTAGGACTGTGATTTTACATAATTTATCTTTTTCTGGCCCCTTAAAAATTAATTCCGGGAAATTTTAGTGTTTTCCCGTGTAAAAACCGGGGAAAAAATATTTAAAAATCGAGCACTTTTCATTCTTTTTTGTCAGTAAGATCCCATATTATTTTTAGGGGACCTGTCTTATCCTGACTTTATTCATATCCTAAAAAAAAATTTTTTTGGGTTATTTTAAAATCCCTAGCAACTTTAAATTTTTTCATAGCCCCTTTTAGTTTTTCTTACCCCTTTTTTTAAATGCCCCCTTAATGTCAAATATGATTCTAAGATGACCCTCGCCTTTTTTGTATGCCTAAAAATTTCCCTTTTTTATCCCTAGTGATATTTCACCTATTTTTTCACCTTTTTTGGGTGTTTCTATTTGATCAATTTTTTTTATAAGGGAAAAACTTCTTTGAGCAGCATGATTGTTTTTCGAAAATGTCATATTGTAGCTTTTTGTTACCCCAGTAACAGTAAAGGTGTTCTCTAAGCCCATCGTAATTCAAAGGGAAAATTTGGGGAGTTACTGGTTACCCCTACTATCATACCCCATTCAATTCTAAATGAAATTTTGATTTGTGGTCGCTAGCCCCCAGTTCCTCTGAAACTTCAAATTTTAAAAAAGGGATTCATTGTTTCCCAGAACTAAGTCGCAGGTTATTACCCTTGTAGGTTCTGTCCAACTGCTTAAAAAAAAACAATCCTGAACTATTTTAAAGAAGTCGTATGATTCTAAATTCCCAGCCCAAGAATTAAAACAATATGACTAAAGTTAAAGTCTCCTAGAATTTCTACATTATCGTCCCTTGTGGCCCTAACAATTTCCCCATGTAGTGTCCCCTGGTCCCTATCTAAATTTGGGGGGGAGGGTAATCACACCAAAAATTAACTTTTCATGCGCCACGGGAAAATTTTATCCAAAAAAACCGTATGTGTTACTTCAGACTTAATCCCCTTTTTATGAAAAAGTTAAGCGATCTGGCATATGTGCCACCCCACCCCCCTTCCGATCTTTATCTACTTGGAACAATTTAAAACCTGAATGTGACATTCTCGGCATGTCCGCTTTTTAAATTTAAAACCCACGTCTCAGAAATGGCAAATCACCCTATTTTACCTGCACTAGCAATATCTCAACTCGTCATCTTTTTCCTAGCATGCACTTTTGTGTAATAAATATTAAAGACCCTCCTTTTCCCTTACCCTTCCTGCTCCTTTTGTTTTTCCCACAAAACCCTATTACTGCCCTTGTAAATTAGTGCCCTGGTTTTCCCAATATCCATTATTTTCCCTATAACAGTTTCCCCTAGTACTCTATTTTCCCCTGAGACTTCACAGTTTTCCCCCCAAAAAACCCCAAACCCCTAACTATTCCAGTTTAAGACCTAACAGTCCCCCCACTGCGTTGGCCAGTGTCCCACCCCCTAATAAGTGAACCCCATCCCTGGATACATGCATTTCTGCCTAGAAAAGGGCCCCGTTTCAATGAATGTTACCAATTTTCCTTACGTATTTGTCCCCCAGCAATTGACACCAATTGCCTGGACAACCCCTTCATTTCCAAAATCCCTTCCTTGGCAAAATCCCATATGACAGGTTTCCCCACCCCTTTTCCTAATTTCTTATTGCGACCTATACCCGCAACGGTCCTCATCCCACGTCTCCCCAAAATCGTTGCCTCCACATGGACGATAATAGGATTGCTCCCCTTACCTCCCATTGTATCCGACGGCAACAAAATCCTTCATCCCAGCCCCAGGAAAACACACTCCGCCTCCCACTCCTCCTTCAAACAGAATGCCCTTCCAGTACCTAATCTGGGTATCCCCCCAAAAAACAATGTTTTTAAACCCTTTCCCTTGCTCGTCTGTCTGTTGGGAGCATTATTTTTTTGGTTCCACTGTATGACTTTTTGGTGCTGTCCAGTGCCTTCTTGAAGACAGCCAGGGGTCTATTGGTAATCCCCTTTATGTATGCTGGGAGGTAGTTGAACAGTCTTGGGCCCCTGACATTGTGTTGCCTCTCAGTGTACTCGTAGTGCCCCTGCTTTTTTTTTAGGGAATGTTGCATCCCTGCCGGGGGTCTTTTTATTTTTTAGGGATGATTTTTGGGTGCAAATTTGGTACTAATCCCTTTAGGATTTTGCAGGTGTATATTATCATGTATCTTTGATATATGTAACTTTGAGTTTTGAGAGTTTTTCTACTCCTGGAGCCTGCCTGGGCTAGGCTTTGTCCTGTATGTTATTAATCTACTTGTTTCCTGTATTCCAGATGAGGTGACAAGAGGTAGACATGTTTAAGTGGTTCCAGAACCGTCTTCAGAAAGGAAGCAGACATTCTACTTCAGAGTTTGAGGGTGAAGATAACACAGTCATTTTTGAATATGGTCAGGTAGAGGTGGCAACTGAAGCAGTTCAGGGTGAGGTGGATACTGAGGCAGTTTCAGGCAAGGTAGATGCTGAAGCAGTTCCTTATGAGGTGGACACTAAAGTAGTTCATTGCAAATTGCACACTGAAGCCGTTCAGGGCAAGGTGGATGCTAAAGTAGTTCGGGGTGATGTGGATGGTGAAAGAGTTCAGAATGAGGTTAACTCTGAAACAGTTCAAGGCAAGGTGAATGCTGAAGAACTTTATGGAGATATAGATATGGAAACAGTTCATAGTGAAGTGGAATCTGAAGCCACTCAGGGCAGCGAAAACAGGGAGGCCATTCAGGGTGATGACGATGCTGAAGCAGTCCTGGAAAATGTGGATGCTGAAGCAGTTATGGACGAAGTGGATGCTGAGGGAGTTCAGAATCAGGTGAAAAATGAAGTATTTCAAGGCAAGGAGGATACTGAAGCAGGTCAAGCCAAGGTGGACACTGACACAGTACCTTCCAAGGAGGATACTGAAGCAGTGCAAGCCCAGGAGGGCACTGAAACAGTGAAAACCAAGGAGGACACTGAAGCAGTAAAAGCCAAGGAGGACACTGAAGCAGTACAAGCCAAGGAGGACACTGAAGCAGTACAAACCAAAGACCACACTGAAAACATGCAAGCCAAGGATACTGAAGCAGGGCAAGATAAGGTGGACACTGAAGCACTGCAAGATAAGGGGGATACTGAGGTAGTACAAGCCAAGGAGGATGCTGAAGCACTGCAAGATAATGTGGACACTGAAGCACTGCAAGATATGGAGGATACTCAACCAGTACAAGCAAACGAGGGTACTGACGTAGTACAAGCCAAGGAGGTTACTGAAGCAGTGCAAGCCAAGGAGGTTACTGAAGCAGTACAAGCCAAGGAGGTTACTGAAGCAGTACAAGCCAAGGAGGTTACTGAAGCAGTGCAAGCCAAGGAGGTTACTGAAGCAGTGCAAGCCAAGGAGGTTACTGAAGCAGTACAAGCCAAGGAGGTTACTGAAGCAGTGCAAGCCAAGGAGGTTACTGAAGTAGTACAAGCCAAAGTGAACAGTGAAACAGTGCAAGCCAAGGTGGACACTGAAGCAGTACAAGATAAGGAGGACATGGAAGCAGTGCAAGTCACAGTAGACACTGAAGCTGTACAAGGCAAGATGGACACTGAAACAGTGCAATATAAGGTGGACACTGAAGAAGTGCAAGATAAGGTAAACACTAAAGCTTTGCAACCCCAAGGTGGACCTGAACAGTCAACCAAGGAAGGGATACTGAAACATTTGCAAAAAAGGGGGCACTGACAGTCAACCAGGTAAAATGAAGCGTAAAAAAAAGGGACACTAAAGCATAAAAGGGAAAAGAGGACATTGAAGCGTGCAAGCCAGGTGGAAAATGAAGAAAGGAAACCCAAAAGGGACATGAACAGTCAACAAGGTGGACACTAAAACAGTCCCAGCCAAGGAACTGAAAAAGTGCAAAAAGGTGACATGAAGCGTGCAAACCAAGGGGAATAAAACAGTCAACCCAAAGGGGAAGAATAAAACATGCAAGCAAGAGGAACTGAAACAGTAACCCAAAGGGGGACATGAAGCAGTCAAAAGGGGGACATGAGGCTTACAAGCCAAAGAGGAACTGAAGCGTGCAAGAAAGGTGGAACTGAAGCAGGCAACCCAAAGGGAATAAAACAGTCAACCCAAGGGGGAACCTAAAACAGTGCAAGCCAAGTGGACACTGAAGCAGTCAAAAAAGGGTGGCAGAAGCAGTGCACCCAAGGGAATGAACAGTCAGCCAAGGGGACTGAACGTGAAACCCAAAGGGGGAAAACTAAAACAGTGCAACCCAAGGTGGACAAAAAAAGGTAAACCCAAGGTGGACATAAAGCATTCAAAAAGGAGGAAGAAGCAGTGCAAGAAAGGTGGGACATAAAAAGCAGGCAACCCAAGGGGAATTGAAGCATTTGCAAGCCAAGGAAGATCTGAAACAGTGCAAGCCAAGGTGGACACTGAAGCAGTCAAAAAAGTGGACACTAAAACAAAAACCAAAAGGGGACATAAAGGGGGCAGTGCCAACCCAAAAAGGAAATGCTGAAACAGTCAAGCCAAGGTGGACATTGAAGCGTGAAAGCCAAGGGGGAACTAAAACAGTAAAAGGCCAAGGGGCTTTGAAGCAGGCAAAAAGTGGACACTGAAGCATCAAGCAAGGTACTTGAAGCGTGCAAGCCAAGGGGGACTTGAAGCGTGCAAGCCAAAAAAGTATGAAAAGTAAACCCAAAGGGGGCATGAACGTGAAAGCCAAGGTGGACACTGAAACATTAAAGAAAGGGGGACATAAACAGTAAGCAAAAGTAACACTGAAGCACTCAAGTTTTTGGACACTAAAAACAGTAAAAGGTGGACATGAAGAGTGAAAAAAGGAAAACTAAACAGTGCAAGCCAAGGGGGGCCTAAAAACAGTAAAACCAAGGGGAATGAACATTACAAGCCAATGAGGTTTAGAAGCGTGCAAAGCCAAAAGGTTTATAAAAGATAAAAGGGGAAGGGAGGCTGAAGCAGTGAAAGAAAGGGGACTGAAAAGTCCAAGCCAAAAGAAAACTGAAACAGTGAAACCCAAGGGTGGACCTGAACAGTCAAGAAAGGGGACTTAAAAGCGGGGCAAGTAATTTGAACAAAGCGTAAAAGGGCCAAGAGGACACTAAAACAGTGCAAAAAGGTGGACATGAAGAAGTGCAAGAAAGGTAAAATAAAGAGTGCAAGCCAAGGTGGACCTAAAACAGTAAAACCAAGGAGGAATGAAACAGTAAAGAAGGGGCACTGAGCAGCAACCAAGGGGGGCATGAAGCAGTCAAATAAGGTGACATGAGCATAAAAGGAAGTGGCATTGAAGCGTGCAAGCCAAGGTGGACACTGAGCAGTGCAACCAAGGAAGATACGAAACAGTGCAACAAAAGTGGACACTAAACAGGCAAGAAGGGGGAACAAAAGCAGTAAAAGAAAGTTGGACATGACAGTACAGCCAAAGGGGGACACTGAAGCAGTGCAACCCAAGGTGGCATGAAACAGTAAGCCAAGGTGGACATAAAGGGTCAACCCAAGGTGGACATAAAACAGTAAAGAAAAAGGGACACTGAAAACAGTCAACCCAAAGGTGGAACTGAACAGTCAGAAATGTGGACACTGAAGCAGTGCAAGAAAGGGGAATGAAACATTAAAACCCAAGGGGGGGCACTGAAGAGTGCAACCAAGGGGAACTAAACAGTGCAACCAAAGGAGAACTGAAACAGTGCAAGCAAGGGGAACTAAAACAGACAAGAAATTTTTGGACACTGGGGGCGTAAAACCAAAGGGGACACTGAAACGTCAGGCCAAGGTGGCCCGGGAAGCATTTAAACCCCCAAGGTGGACACTAAAACAGTGGCCAAGGTGGACACTGGGCAGTACAACCCAAGGGGGACATAAAACAGTCAGGCCAAGGTGGACATGAACAGTAAAAGCCAAGGGGACACGAACAGTCAGGAGGGTGGACACTGAAGCAGTGCAAGCCAAGGGTATAAAAGTGAAAACCAAGGAGGAACTGAAACAGTGCAAGCAAGGTGGCAAAAGCAGTAAAAGAAGGGTGGCATAAAGCAGTGCAAAATAAGGAGGACACTGAAAAGGGGAAGCCAAAGGTGGAACTGAACAGTAAAACCCAAGGGGGACATGAAGCATTTGAAAATAAGGGTGGACACTGAAGCGTAAAAAGCAAAGGTGGCATTGAAGCAGTGCAACCCAAGGTGGACATTAAAAACGCAAGCCAAGGAGGGGAACCCGAAAGTGCAAGAAGGTGGAACTGAAGCAGTGCAAGAAAAAGGTGGATTTAAAAAAGCAGTGCAACCCAAGGGAAGAGCTGGGAAACAGTCAAGCCAGGTGGAAATAAAGCATCAAGAAAGGGAGGACATGAAAGTCAACCAAAGGTGGCATTGAAGCGTGCAAGCCAAGGAGATATGAAACAGTGCAAGCCAAGGTGGACATTGAAGCAGTGCAAACCAAGGTGGACACTGAAGCATTACAAGCCAAGGAGGATACTGAAGCAGTGCAAGATAAGATGGACACTGAAGCAGTGCAAACCAAGGTGGACACTGAAGCAGTGCAAGCCAAGGTGGACACTGAAGCAGTGCAAGATAAGGTGGACACTGAAGCAGTGCAAGCCAAGGTGGATATTAAAGCAGTGCAAGCCAAGGAAGATGCTGAAACAGTGCAAGCCAAGGTGGACACTGAAGCAGTACAAGATAAGATGGACACTGAAGCAGTGCATACCAAGGTGGACATTGAAGCAGTGCAAGCCAAGGAAGATGCTGAAACAGTGCAAGCCAAGGTGGACACTGAAACAGTACAGGCCAAGGTGGACATTGAAGCAGTGCAAGATAAGATGGACACTGAAGCAGTGCAAGCAAAGGTGGACATTGAAGCAGTGCAAGCCAAGGCGGACATTGAAGCAGTGCAAGCCAAGGAAGATACTGAAATAGTGAAAGCAAGGGGGAACTAAACTTTTAAAAAGCCAAGGAGGCCCTAAAGCAGTGCAAGAAAAAAGTGGACACTAAAGCACTAAAAGATAATTTGGCCCCTTGAAACGAAACAAGCGAGGTGGCACTGACGCATGAAAAGAAAAGGGAACTAAAACAGTACGACCAAGGGTGGACTTTGAAGCAGTGCAACCCAAAGGGAAGATATAAAACAGTGCAAGCCAAGGGGGGCACTGATGCAGTGAAAACCAAGGTGGACACGAAGCATTACAACCCAAAGGAGGATACTGAAGCAGTGCAAGATAAGTGGACACTAAGCAGTGCAGCAAAGGTGGACTTTTGAAGCAGTGCAACCCCAAGGAGACATTGAAGCTGTGAAACCCAAGGAAAGATACTGAAACAGTGCAAGCCAAAGGTGGCACTGAAGCAGGCAGGCCAAGGTGGACCTGAAACAAGCATGCCAAGGGGACTTAAAGAGTGCAACCCAAAAGGAAAGATCTGAAACAGTGCAAGCAAAATGGACATGAAGCGGGAGGCCCGGGGACACTGAAGCAGGCGGGGCCAAGGCAGATACTGAAACAATGCTGCCAAGGTGGCATTGAAGCAGTACAAGCCAATGGGACACTGAAGCATTGCAAGAAAAGGTGGACACTAAATCTGTAAAAGGGAAAGGTGGCCCTAAAAAGTGAAAGCCAGTTGGACCCCTGAAGCGTACTATTCAAAATGGCATGAAGCTGTAAAAAGGAAAGGTGGACACTAAAGCTGTACAAGGCAAGGGGGAACTGAAGCAGTTTGGGGTGAAGTGGACACTAAAGAACCCCAGTTTGAGGTATACTAAAGCATTTCTGAACAGAGTGGTGTGAAGCATTTTCAGCACAAGTATCGATGAACCAAGACGGGCGAAAGTGATGCTGAATCAATTCATTGAGGTTAGAAATTAAAAAAAGGTCAGGATGAGTGGAAACCTATGTTTATGATGATTTTTTGAGATTTTTGAAAAGGCTTAAATGTAACCCCCTTTCTTTTATATAGATCAATGTTGTGCACAAATGCCTTATTTTCAGAATTTAGCATGTGATATTCATGAAGATCAGGTCATTGACAGTTCTTGTAACATTATTGAAGCTAAAAAGTGTAAAATCTTGTCAAAATCCAATGACCACATGCAAAATATATTTTCACATGAAATGAAAACACAAGTAAACTCACTGAAGCAAAAGTTACAAGATCCAAGGGATGAGATATTATTTGAAACACAAGAAAAATACAATATTCCAGGAATAGAGATTAAAGAAATTGTAGCAGAAACTCTAAACCAAAATATTTCTTCAGGAGACAATGATTTGATAGTAAGACAAAAACATCAGGAAGTTCATGAACATGGAATATTGCCAGAGTTTCAGTGCATTATCTCTCTTTCTAGTCCAGAAAATGTAGGTTCTCCAGAGCAGCAAATATTGACTAATACAAAGCAAGAAGATCTAGGAATGGATGATAGTGTACCAATCCTGGAACTTCTTCATAGTGATGTTGATGTTCATGAATGGAAAGGACATGAGAATTATGCCCATGTGCCAACATGTATTGAAGATGTATCAGTACTAGATAAAAGTGACTTAGGGTTAGATAATGCTTGTAATAATGTTTCAACAGTATTACCATCTGAGCATCATGTTGAGGTTGGAGATAATGATGATATTCAGGGTGTCAATGATAACACAGAACTTACTATCAGTGACAGTGCTCAGATCTTTTTGTTCAGTGGAACCAAATTAGACTTTGATAATGAGGAATCCTTGGAAGTGAAAACAGATACATATAATCAGCACAGCTTCAGCGAGATGGAGAAAATGCCAGATTTCTTTCAGCCTATTAACTATTGCTTACAAGATAAACAAAAACTGGAAGAAGAATCAGCTAGAGATGAAAAGGGATCTACAACAATCTGCCCATTAATTGGACATGGACATCAAGTGCATCTAGAGTCATTGGAAAGAATCTATGGGAGCAGTAGCAAGATTAATACACTTGATCCCTATTTGTATCCTCACCCCCATTGCCCTCAGCTGTCTTGCTTTTACAACCATCATGGGAAACTGTGTACTGTTCTGAATAAGCACTTTATTTTAACGTACATTAAAGAAGCCCCAGTGCTTATTAACTTGTATACAGAGACTTCAGCCTCTGCATCATTTGGGGGTGTATTAGTTTGGAGAATGGGTAAACCCTCTGTGCTTCAAGAGTTTCCAGATGGCACTGAAATCTGTTTTGATGCAGTTATAATGCCAAATGACACCAAATATACTGCTTTAGTTATTTGGCAAGGTATTAAGCCTAAATTAGTTATTGAGCCATACTTTAAATCGTATGTTTTTGTAGAAGAGTTGCAGGATCTTGAGGTTGATTTTATTATATTTCATAAGGAAAATGGACTGGTCAGCACTATCATTGGAGAAGAAATAAAGATTGCCACTTTTTGTAAATCTGTTGTTTTTATTAGTGGGAAGAAGGTCCAAAGTACTGATGATATACAGAAACTCAAAGAATGTGGTTCACAGTTATATGCAAATGTAATCAAGCTTGTTAGTATTGGTTATGATGGCAAAATAGTATATGGCTTCATGTGCTCCTGCTTATGGTCAGGCATTAAACCATCACAGCTCAATTTACCAACAGAATTTAACCATGTTTTGTTGTATAAAAAGAGATGTGGGCATTTTGCTAAGAGAAATAGACAATTATATTTGTACTGTGATGTAGATGTCGAGTTAATTGTGAATGAGAAGGGTCATAGTCTTGTTTATAAAAGTGAAAATGAGGAAATTTCATTTCCTTGCACACACAAGGTTTATTGTGGTAACAGAAAAGTTCTGCCTGCAGTTGGAGGACAAGTAAAAGCTCACATCAAAAAGCAAATTAGTAAAACTGGAGCATTAATGTGGGATGCCTTAATGGTTCAAATTCCTGACAAATCTTTAGTTCAAGTTTGTGAGACATGTGCTGCTGATGTGCATGAATATAAAGAATCAATTAGAGAGATTTCTTCTCTTAATATTTCCAAAGAAAAGTGTCTTCCACTCATTTTAGATGGGAATAATGAGCCTCAGGTAGGAACAGAAGAAACAGGCGAGTTTTACGAAAAGAGAATATTATTGAATGATACAGGCAGAAGAGCAAAGATAGATGCTGCTCGCTCAGAATTGGGCTCTAATTCTGATATAATGAAACTGAATAAAATTGAGTCTACTTTGACATTTACTGAAGAGGATATTGTAAATGATAATAAGGCTGTATCTTCGCACGATAACATTTTACAAATGGATGAACTAATGGATATGGACTCAGAGAAAACCTATGAGGTCAGATTAGAAACTAATTCAATCTGCTCTGTCTTGAATTCTAATTGTGATCAAAAAACCTATACAGAAAGTGTAAGGCAAGTGTCAGACAATATTTTGAACGAAGTGGAGTCTGTCATTAAAGTTGAAGTGAAAAATGAGGATATTTTAGCAGAGTTTAAATGCATTCATAAAGTTGATGATTGTCCCCAAGTGATGAAGAACTGCTCTGGAAAATTAAGTTATGTAGCTAATTTGAAAGTTTTTAATATATATACTGAATTAAATGGAAAGCCCTTTGAAGTTCATGTTGGTAGTGGGGCATGGTTGGTTAACAGTGGTGTGGCTTCGACAGTTGAAAAAAGTGCAGTGGCTGTGCCTATTTCTTTTGATTTCTATTTTGACAAGAGTCTACCACATGGCCACCGTATAGCAGCAATGTGGGTAGGAGAGAAGCCACATAAAGCTGTTAATAAAAATGTGATATATTACTTTGATATACCTGGTATTTACTGTGGCCTTTGTGGAGAGGACATGAATTTTAGAGTTTGTGTTGATGACACTATTATTTTTATTAATGCCAGCAATACCGATAGGGTGTTTTCTTCAGATGGAAAACACTGCAAGTCAATCCCTTTAAATGCCTCTGTAGTTCTACATCTGAGAAAATCCACAAATAAAGTTACTGGAATAATTCTTTGGAAAGTCCCCCTCATTATAGTTGAGGCACAAAATAAAAATCTTACATTAGAATCGAGGCCAACCACACAGTTTACCCCATCTTCCAGGTCACCTTCCCTTTGTCCTGTGGAACAATCTTTATCAGAATTCATTGATAATCCCAACAGGCAGCTTCTTTTAGAAAGTGTTCAGTATAGCAATCACAGTTCAGTAAAGAAGCCAAGTTGCTATACATCTTTGGTAGATTTGCCCAGGTACATTAAGAACTTCACAGGAATATTAATTCTTAATGAAACAGATAAGGTGGCTTTGTTTTCTTGCCTTAATGGTACTGCACTTTGGACTTCAATTCCACAAAATGGCTTTGTGTGTGTTGATGGTATAGCTGTAGAAATTACAGATATTCCCCTTGGAACTGGACTTATGTTTGATGCTTTTTGTGATAACCCATCCCACTATAAATATTCTGCTGTAATGCTATGGACTGGAAATAGACCCCATCAAGCAAAATGTGCAGATGGCACCAAATACTTTTATGATGTGAAAGGCGTCTACTATGGTGTCAGGGAAAACAAATTTCAAATGCAGTTGCACTTAGATGGTGAGATTAAAGACATTGAGTGTCAGAAAACAGGACGTATAATCACGGAAGATGGAAGTATTGATTCAAAAGGTTTAGTGTGGGGTGACAGAATATCTGTACATCTGAAATGTAAGGTAAACTTGAACTCATATCAAGTGATCCTGATGTTTATGTTTATTGAAAAAGATCTGCTTGAAAAGTCAAAAAGTTGTAATGAGAAGAGGATATTTGATGCACATTGCAGTATACTGAATGGTACACATACTTTAGTTCCCCAAACAAACATAAGATCTGAGAAGGCAGATTTTCTTCAAAAAATACCCAAGGAGTGTAGTGAAAATATTTCTGTAGTGGCTGATTCTCGAGGAGTTACACCAAAACATTCACTCTCTGAGAAGTGTGATATACCTGAAAGACTTCCTTGCACTTCACAGATTAAAGAACTCGATACAGTGAATGAAGATGCACCTTCTTATTTGAAAGATTGCTCTGGCATATTAGTCAATGTTGATGGCTGTACGAGAGCAATAACATCTTTATTCAGAGAGCCATTGACTATCCTTTTAAGTGAGTATCAACGTGTTTATCTTGAAAATGGAACTGTTGTAAATGTTGGTGATGTTCCAGTAAACTCAGCTGTGAAGTTTGATGCCCTTCTATCTAGTACTAAGGAAACTGACTTTTGTCCCCTTATGGTTTGGGTTGAAAAGAGACCCTCTGTACTTAAAGATGTCCATGGAAATAGGTATTTTTATGATGTGGAAGGAACATACATAGATACACAGTGTGGTCTTTTTAAACTTTTCTTGAAGTTAGATAAGCAGTGGAAATATTTGTTAGTAAAAGAAATTAGCCATGTCTACTTTCTTAATGGAAGGAAAGCTCAACATGCATTGACACATAAGACTAAAATATTGATGCATCTCAGGGAAGGATATGTGGAGGATGAGTTTGGACTCAAATATAAAGCCATTGTAATTTTTGTTATTGATGAATCTCCTTTAAGACAGCTTCAGGATCCAGATCACAGCATACACTTAGTAAATCTAGAAGAAAAAGAAAAGGCCTTGAATAAAACTTTTGATTTAGATACTGTAAATAAAAATAAAGATCAGCACCAAAGTTATGATGAAAAGGTTGGTACAGATGTTGCAGAGCATAACCCATCATCTATACACTATTCTGTTTTTGAAGGAAAAGTTGTTGAAACCAAAGCCAGTATAGAGTATAAATTTACCTACACTCATGAAGGAAATACAAGAACTTTGTTGATACCTGCAGATATTACTTTGGACAAGCCTTCACAGGCCAAGTCTGTCATGGAATTTTATCTTTTGACTCGGAAGAGTACTCTTGGGAAAAGGGCTACACCATATCATCCGATATGTGGTTGGTTTCACAGGAAAAGTCATGATGCATATGTCATACATTGTCTTAAAATACAGTCTTTTAATCCCAAAACACAACTGATTAGTCTGATAAATCCAACCGATGAAAGTCTTCATTATTTCCAGTGTGACAGTGAATATTTGTTCATGGGAAGGACAAAATCACTCATTGAGAATGCCTGCAGAAATCTTAATGTCCATGCTGTTGTTGAAGACATTACACCATGTATTGTTCAAGGTGTTTCAGTACAGAAAAGGGTCTTACTTCTTACAAGTAATATGGGGCTGTCTCAAGCATCTTTGAAATTTCTTGTACTTTCACAGGTTGAAAATGAAATAAATGAGTCTAAATCAGATAATCATGTAGATGCTGAAACTGATTACCTTGAACAGCCACAATTAAATACTTGTAACAATAGTAGTAGTAATAATATTAGCTGTAACTCAAAAGAGCATGATTTTGAGCGATTGAAACTAAAGCAGACAAGACCAATAGCAGTGAATGATCAGATTTGTGAAGATAAGGATATAGATGACAACATTAAGCATTTTGAAGATAATGACAAAGAAGAAAATATTAAGCCATTACCTATAGAAGAGGATCATCTGGAAATCAGTATGAAAATTTGCTCAGAAAACAAAAGAAAGCTGTCACAAGTTGAACATGAGGTCCTTGAAGACTCATTAAGGAAGTCTCTCCTTGAAGAAAATATACTCTCTGGAGAAAAATTGGAAAGGATGATTAGTAAAAAGTTGTCAGACACTTCAACTATGCAATCTGCAGTAAAATACCTGACCCTTAAGGGTGATGTGCTTCATGGGCATATTAATGGTAATTTGATCTTTGAGTGCGAGGAAGAATATAGACACATACGTTTGCCATCTGATATACTCTGTTTCAAGTGGAGAAACTCAGAGAGATATAATAAGAAGAATTACCTTTTAGTTTATAAAATGTTTAGTAAAAAAACTAAAGATGTTATATATCATCCATTGTTCATATGGCATGGAAGATACAAATGCAGTGCATATATTCTCATTAACCAAAAGATTGTTCTGTTTAACCCAGAAAATAATCTACTTGTTATTGCTAATGACCAGAATAATAGTTGTCAGTATTGTTCAGTTGAGAATAATTCTGCATTTACCAGCACAGTTAAGATGAGTATCAGTGATTTCTGTGGAAAGAAGAATGAAATAAGGCTAATTTATTTTGTTGTAGAAGACATCCCACCAATAAGTGTTGGGGAATATATTGTTAATAAGAAGATTTTACTTGTCAGCAGTAGCTTTGATCTAGCTCTATCATCTATAAGCACCTTTTCCTGTAACAAGAGTGACAGTAATTTGATATCTGTGGCTGAGATTTGTAAACTTGATCAGTTATATCAAATCTATGAAGAGAGAAGAAATAGTGCATATCAGTGTAAAGAAGGTCATACTTATTATTTGTGGGATAATAATTTTGACATTCAGAATATGAAATATTATGGTGGCTATCTACAGTTTTACACAGAGAAATATGCTTTTATTTTGTGTGGTAAAAAGAAGTTTATTGCAGTGTGTCACATATCAAGCACATACTATCAAGGTAGAAACATTTCCTCATGGGATGAAATTGATAAGAAATTCTGGAAAAACTTCTTTGTTATCACCTGTCCATTAGAAAAGGAGATAAAGATTGAGTATCAACAGGTGGATGTGATGGCTTTAGTAGGGTGGTCATGTAGTGCCCCTGATATCCTTGCTGTGCATACATGTCATCTACATACTCCAACACTATTTGTATGTAAGGATATAGCTTCTATAGAGGAGGAAGCAATACAATTGACAAATCCCCATAATAATGAATTGCCAAGAGAATCTTCTGCTTGTGCATTTTCTTCAGAGTGTTATGAAGAAAATTCTAAAGTGATAACTGCAAATGAAATAGAGATTTCAGACTGCATGGCAGGAAGCAACATTTTCAGTATGCATGAACAAATATTAAAGTCTTGTGGCTTAAGGAGGACTGTTGCTAACTTAACTTATTTTGAAAAACATTTGGTTGTCTGTACAAGTGAACTTGGTGAAATGGTTTGGTGTTACTTATCAGATTTCTACATTCATGGTGTAAAATGCCATTCCATAAAAGATTTGCTGAAGCAGAAAAAGCAAAAATGCACCCTTGTCATTGTACATTGCCCAGCAGTTGTTCTTCAGGGAAAAACTGTGAATTTAAAAGGTGTAATTGGATTTATTGGATCAGAAGTCCTATTACCAGGCATCCATATTTGCAATTATCACAAAGGCATTTTGCTGAATGTTAAAAAGGAGGAAATAGTCATTGCTAAAGAAATATTTAATGATATTCAAGCAATTTATGAACAGTCAGTAAAATATGCTGCATATCTCCTTGAAAACTTATGTGATACAGAAATTGAACAGGCAGTTTCATTGATTAATGCTGGGGTACCAGAAAGATACCTTGAATTCCAAGGAGTTCTTGTTAATGTTAATGACACAGACCCTAACAAGGCTATGGCTAGTATTCAGCTCAGAGGAAAAGAACATTATGTTCTTGGTGCACCATGAAGTATTCATTGGCCTTTAATAAAGGCATGTTGCTTAATACTGTTGTAGGTTGTCCCATCAAAGGGATTATACATTCTTCAGAATCTTCAAATTATTTCAAGAAGTTTAGAGTAATGAGGGCATGGAGGGACCTTAGCAGGTCTCTATCTCCAGAACTAGAAGTAAAAATCCCAGTAAATAAATCATTTATGATTACAGAAGGAATTTGCTGTCCAAGAGCCCATGTAATTCAGCATTTTGAATTGTTGCACAAAAGACCTGTGTTTAAAATATTGATGGGAAAAAAGATTAGCTCAAACCCTGAAAATAGCAAAATAGTTTTTAAGTGTACCTGTACCTCCAAAAATGTAATTGAGGTAATATGTGAAAAACATTCTCTAAGAACTCAAGATGCTAGTTCATATGATGATAACAGTCCATGGTGTATATTGGTCCATTATATAAATAATTTGTGTGCACCCATTGAAGGTGTAGCAGCATGGAAAGGTAATGTTGCTAATCTGATTACTCAGGTATGTGACGTCCACAAAATTCAACTTTTGGATTTAATATTTGTGAATGATACTAAGGAGGATAAGCCTGCTTTTGTCTCAGAACAAGCACCACTTAGAGTAAAGAGCAATAGTGAGTCACTGTACTATGAACCTTTGATTCCAGTATCTTTCCATGTAAAAAATACAACCAGAAGCAGAAGTAATCCACTCATAAATGGGTTGCAAGTGGAAGCAGCATCTTCCACACTCAAGGATTACACCCGTTGGGGTTTTGGATCTCTTCCTAGTTATTTGGAAAGTTCTTCAGGATTTGAAAAAGGTGTTGAAGTTGAATACATTAACAACTTCACTGATGAAAAGTCTTTGGCAAAATCAGAAAACCAGCTCAAAATGTACTCTCCTGCTATGAAAGCATTGGATAAAGACTGTGAAGATATCACCACTGATCCCCAGTTTATAACAGAAACATCTGATTTAACTCTCAAATATTTTGATGATGATAATGTCTGGTATTCTGCCAGTGAAAAAGCTGATATGGCCAGTTTGGTTTTGTCTGAAGCTCAGATATCCAACACACACAAAGATGATGATACTGAGCCTGTTGAAGACTCTGAGTCAGATAGGAATATTCAAATGACTCCTAGCCAGTGTCTGGAAGGGAATTCAATGTCATATATAGAGTCAAGCAAATTTGAATGCTTAGATGAGTTTCAAGGTATTATTCAAAGCTCTGATATAAACATTCTCATAAGATGCCACAACCTTTATTTCAATATGTCACCTCTGAATGAACCATTAACAGAATTGATAAAAAATGAAGAAAATTGTGAAGTTAAGGCTATGATAGTGTGCCTTTCATCTCCAATTAGTGTTCTAGGGTACACAGTCACTCATGAAGCTGTTATAGCTTGGGTGGGCAAGAAGCCATGGCAGGCAGACAATTTGGAGAAAATTTTTGGCTTAAATAGGTTTCATGATGATAAACATGAACAGGAAGAGCTAGTTGCAAATCTGAAAACCCAGTTGTGTCCAGAAGATAGTGAAGTAGGTGTAGAAAAGGACACAATTATGATAGCAGATGATGCTCCTCAAACTTTATATGGTTGTGGGTATAGTGACAGTTGTTTCACACATGGTATCTTGAGAAGTAGCAGTGGATATATACTATTCACAAAGGAGTTAGTCTACCGTAACAAGGTTAGAATGAACCAACATAAAAAAATAAAAAAAATACTGTATTTGAAAAGTATAAATGCTTTAATGATGAAACTCAAATTTCCTGTTAAAATATTAGATTGCCAAGTTACTAATATTGCTCTGTTGGTTTGGGTTGATGATGCACCAGAGGATGTTCAGTATACAATTACTGACAGCTTGGACTTCTACAAGAAGAACTGGAATATAGAATTTTACATAGTACAAAATCAACAACTTATAGATGTAGTATTAGCAAAGTCAGCTACCTATCCCCAAACTGAGGGTGATACTGCTGGAGGGAAGCAGAAGCCCAAGGTTAAAACACAATACTCTCCCCCAGTAGCACAGACATGGATTATGAAGAATATAGATGTGAAACTAGAGAGAGAGATTGATAGGGAATTTGATGTATTATTAGAAAATACAGAAAGGTTTATCAAAGCGCCATCAAGGTGGGAAAATTCACAATGTAAAATAATCTTAGTTGGGAATAAATTTACAGTTCTAGAAAGTGGGAACAAGACAGCAGTTGTGCAGAAGGACAGATTTTATATAGATGGAATAAAATTACTATCATCACGTCCCATTTCCGAGCAACTCGGAGATCTGCGTGCTGTTGTGGCTTACCTTATTAAAATTGAGAAGCCTTTATATATTCAACAGTATATCATTACTGACTTTGCTGTACTGGCCTTTGCAGGCAAAAAGCCAAAAGGTGTTCAACTTATTCTTGATCATTGGCAAGAACAAGCAGGCAAAAAAATTAACCTCTCAACCAAGACAAAACTTATGCCAGTCCCACAAAAGAACTTAGGTGTTATTACACACAACAAAAAAAAATCTATAGACTCAAAATCGGCTGTTGTTTTTAAACTTTTTACGGCCTCTGGAATATTAGAAGTGCAGAGTAAAGTAAACGAAGAGAAAGTTAGAATCTTTTTTAGTAAAGATCAGGTGTATGTTAACAAGAAACCTGTACCATTATCTTCATCTCTGACAGACCATATGGCTCCTTTTGTAAAGCAGCCTTGGAATTGTTCAGCTCGTTTATTTCCCCAGAAAAAGAACAAAGCTGGACATAGAAAAATCTGTGGTATAGAAGCACATTATATTGCAAATTTAGTTTGGTATGGTGAGATGCCATCAAAAGAAGAAAGAAATACTAATAAGTTAATGGAGCAGAATAAAAGAGAACTGACATCAAAACAAAAAGGGACATCTCTTACTGATACTCATCTAGGTCTTGCAAGCAAGATTGTTGGGAAGAATATGACTCAGTCTTCATGCAGCCAAGAAAGTAGTGTAAGTATTTTTTCTTCTCAGTCAGAATGTTTGAACTTCACAAGGATGTGATTAGTATTGGTATACTTGCTTAATTTTAATGCCTAAGCTGTGCTTCACAAAAAAAACAAATTTACATAGGCCACATAAATGTACATACAGGTCTCCCTCAACATTCGTGAGGGTTAGGGGATCAAGAGCCTCGCGAATGTTGAAAAATCTCGAATGTTTGGTGAACCAAAATATTGTAGGGAAATATAATACAATACTGCTTCCTTAACTTGTTGAACCATGAACAATCATAAAATACAGTGGACCCCCGCTTAACGATCACCTCCCAAAAGCACCAAAATTTTGTAAGTGTATTTATGTAAATGCGTTTGTAGGTATGTTTGGGGG